GGGGGGGGGGGTGGTGCTAAGAAGAATGGGGAAGGCCCTGGTCATAGTTTCTTGCACATGCAGTTTCCTCAGGACAGGCTGCAACCCAGTTCCTCCACAGCCTCTGCTTACACAGGGCCCCAGCAATGCTCGCGGGAAGCAGAAACTCAGTGTGGGCATGAGGCTTTGCGCTCCCAAGGGCCCTCCTTGCAGTGCTCTGAGTCCGCGGCTTCTGCCTAGCTCCCGCAGAAAACAGCCAGCAGCTCAGCACCTAAAAGCCCATTCTAGCTCATGGTTTCGGGGGAAATTCTCACCGTATAGTACCTGGTCTAGCCGTGTTGGGAGCCCTGAGGGAGCAGAGGGCTATGGGTTGCGCCAGTAACCGCAGTATCAGCAGTTCACACCCACTAGCTGCCCTGTGGGAGAAACCTGGGTCTTTTTGCTCCCACGAACAGTTACAGCCCCAGAATCCCAAAGGGGCTGTTCTACTCTGTCCAATAGGCTCGCTGAGAGTCGGAATTGACACACTGGCAGTGATTTGGGTTTGCGTGTTTATAGCCAGGATGCCCTGCCTTCCCAAAGAGGTGTGGGGAGTCTCTGAGCACATCCTGTCCGCAGCATCTACTCACTCTTCACCCCTTCAGAGTTACAGGGACACGTCTTCCCAGGCCCAAGCATGAAAGCATTAGAAGTTCGTGACATCTTTCAATGGGAGGGAGCTTGCAGGGTGACTTCGCTGATCAGAAGACAAGTGTGAATATTCCTGTTCATAGCAGTTATGACACTTCTCTTTTTTTTCCCACCTTGTTTCTCCCCATTGCAGTTCAAATATACGGAAGGTGTTTATTTCCTGTTCCCATTTCCTTGCTTTCCTCCAACCCGGGATCCCTGTTCATTCCTATCTCTGCCCTACTCCCCCCTGCTTTGGGGCTGACCCCTCTGGGCTCCTCATTCCAACATGTGCCAGAGCCACGCTCTCCATCAGTAACCGCTGGGCCCGTCCTAAGGGTCTTAGCCGAAGATGGCTCCCCTTTCTCCATTTTTCCTTACATAGGCTGGCGGACAAATGAAAATCTCAAGCCCCCAAAAGATGGTCAGGACTTGACCAGTGTCATCAGGAGTTGACCCCAAGATCCTGGGTGCCTGGTTCAGTGCCTTTCCTCCTACACAAACATTCGCCACAGAGGCTGATGGACATTACTCTCAACATAGCGAGGTGTTGCTTCTGCTCTGGTCCCAGGAGTCTATTTCTAGCTCTAGCTTGGCCTGGTGTGGAGATCTTATGTCTAGAAAAGTTCAAGAGCTCCTGCTCATCCCGCCCCCTCTTGCTGCATGGTTTCTGGGGAAAAGCCTTGTGTGACTATGTGTGTCAGGGGGAGGGAGGGGATGGATATCTGGCAGGGTAGATTTCTGAGCAGAGCTTGACATTCCCCAAGAGCCAACCCCCTGGCTTCCCACCTTTGGGAGGAGTCCAGTGATGAATGCCATCCGATGCCTGCAGCAGTAGAAACTCTATGGAGTTTTTGTCTACTTTGGGAATGGGGAGTCTTCTGAAGATGATCAAGCCACACGCTCTCAGGGCCATGGTCTATCTAAGGATTTAAAGAAATCAAACGTGGGACACTGGGAAGCAACATACACAAAAGAAGAAGATCGATACTTGTGAGTAGCACAGGACTAGCTAACTGGGGCTGATCACCTAGGAGAAAAAGCAGCATGCTGAAGACCACTGAGGAAACCAGGAGTCCAAGATGGAGTTGTCAGACTCTGACCTCTGCCCTGAGTCAACGAGCCTCCATCCCAAGGCCTCCTAAACACACAGGGCCGCTGTATGGTAGTTACGGTGTATGGAGATCTTCAGAAGGGAACCCATGAAAATAGAAGCATCTCAGTGGGTTTGCTTGTAAGGATCTCCAATCAGCAGGGCCTGGTCTAGAGGATTCAGAAAGCCAGAGAAGGGGCTGGTGTAGAGATACTGCAGAACTGAGGCAGAGATGGCTCCTGGGCGAGGAGCTGCTGTTCTCCACAGGCCCCGCATGGGCGCTCAATCTACATAAACTGGCTTCTGTCAACCTAAAGGGAAACCTGCTCCAGGGCGATTCACAGGCCCAGCCAAGAGAGGGTGATGTCACCCTCAGGAACAGCACCTGCCTCATAAAATACCTGACACACCTTTTCCATTTCTACAAGGCACAACAAGAGATATTAAGGATTGGAAATAATCTCAAAAAAGGTTTTCAAAATAGTCTGTGTGTTCGTATGCTGTTGGCGGAAGCGTGAACAGGCATATTCCCTTAGGACAGTTTGATAATAATAGTTTGGGACGTAATATGTAATAAGACTGTAAACCGTACTTCCCTCAGACCCAGCAGTTCTACTGGAAGGCACTTGTACATACAGAAATTGATGTTTCAGGTGTGCAGATGAGGATGCTCGCTACAGCCTGATTTGCATGATCAACACAAAGAAAAATAAAGGCAAAACCCCCAAACACGTTAACAAGAGAATGATAAAACGTAATATATTTCTATGGTGGAAGATTATGCAACCATTTCTTAAAAAGGGATAGGTCTAAATGCACAGCCTATAAAATTTTCATACATTAAATGAAAACATGATTCACAATCATATATAATGCAATGCTGTTTGAGTTAATTATCTATCTATATATAGCTATGAAGGCTTTCACAAAGTTCATGGGAAAATAGAATAAAAAGATAATGGATTTTTCCACTAACTTTTTAACCCTCCTGGTATATGTAAAGTGGTGGCAAGCTCTTATTAAACACTGTGTTCTATTTCCTTGAGCTCTCTATTTATGCTGAGAACTTCCTCCATCCTGGAAGCACCCTGTCACTGCAGATGGTGAACGGGGATTTCAAATGGCTGGTTCATGGTTCAGCCAGAAACAAGCACCGATCCTCATGTTCTCTCCCTATAAAAATGCTCAGAAAGTGGCACAAAGTGGTAAACAGATGTACGGTATCATATTCCTGCCTTGGGACCCCTAGATAAGTGTAAGGACCCAAGATTAGGGGGCAGAGCATTCCTCCACCCCACTGCCACCACCAATGCAGCATGGGAAAGCAAAGATGCCCACATGGAGGTGGGCAACACAGGCCAGAGCGGGGTTCCTGGAGCCACCAGGGAAAGAGGCGCAGGCCAAGCTTCTCTGGGGGTGCTTAGGGAACCAAAAAGGAGCACTCTAGCAAAACATATCTCAGTGGATGCTCACGTGCAGGAATGATCCAATCCAAGAATCAGACCAGTCAACTGTGCATTGCAACGGAACCAGAAGAGCAAGGACCACAGGTTTCCTTCCTATCTAGGCTCTGGCCTCATGGACAGAAGAGCGCTACAATGGCAGAACTCCCTGTTGCCCTTTCAGTTGGCTTGGGCTAACTGCTCTCTATTCAGCACTCCTGGTGTTGGGTCTGAATTCTTTCTCGGTGAGCTGGGCTGGTAGTTGGGAAGAAAAGCTGGCTATGAATGAAGTGGAGAAGAACAAACAAAGACCTGTGAGGACAAATGGAACCTATGAGAACACCTGGGACTTGTTACAGGAGGACAGCCTGGATCCTGGACCTCTGCTCACCATCTCCTTGTGTAAGGAGGTAGGTGACCCACGGAAGCTGAACACATGCACATACCTGGCCCAGGGTGCAAGAGCAGTTGAAGGAGCTGGGGAAGCACAACCCCCCCCCCCACCGTTGCCCCTCCCCCCTGCCGAGCTCTGTCCCATGCCAACAAGGTGAGTCAGCAGATCAGTGTCAATGTCCCTGCACTGGTGCCTGGTGTCCTGCTCCGTCCACCACAGCAGTAAACAAGTGCCTGTCACTTCACTTCAGCTTTCCAAATCTTAACTATACAATTCTCTTGTGGTCAACTGTCATCCAGAACTCTATGCTCCGGGCATCCTGGGAAACATAGATTCCAGCCTAGGTAAGGCAATGTGGCACAGAGCCAGCACAGGACAGAGCACGGGGCCCAGTGCGGTGGGCCTCGGCACAGAAATAGGACAGGTTCCATCTGTGTCCTTGGGCCAAGCATAGCTGCTCTCAACAGATGTTCACTGGCTCAACTACTCTCTCCCTACTTCCCACTAAAACAAATGCTCAGGGTAAGTTGGGGGGCGGGGGGAGGAGGGCACGCCTGGGAAAAAGCTCAGTGTTTTCCTGAAGAGTGACATTTACATAAAAATCAATGAAGCTATTGTTGGGGGTTTTCTGTTTTTTCTGGAGACCACGGAGCACCAACTGTTCTGGGGTTTGAAAGCAGCCAGCTTTCCCACAAGGACTCCAAATGGATGCAAACCTCAGGGGGTTAAGGCACACAGCATCCAATATGCAAATATGCCTGCAGCCAGGATTGCTGAGGTGAGAACTCCGGGCTGACAGCAGGCAATTCACACTTCAGAAAAGTGGCAAAGTGCCTGAGGTGGTTAGGATAGGGGGGGAAAAACTGAACAAAACCCCCTCAATGTCATCAGAAGGTTCCAGAAGCCACGGAAAAGTGCTCTTAGATTCTTTGTCTCTGTAAGCAATTCCCTCACAGGCTAGGAGGCTCAGGACCTAGGTGTCAAAATGGAATTCACAGATAGATGACTGTACTGATGTGTTGTGTTCCAATGTTTTCATCAAATTAATCGGAATGCTATTGCGAACACGGCTCAGCCCCCAGAGCGCTCATAAATACACCTTTAGACACGCTAGCGCTCCCAACTCCGCCCCCACAGGAGCCCAAGTGGTGCAATGATTCAGTGCTTAGCTGCTAACCTCAAAGTTGGCAGTTTGAACCCACCAGCTGCTCTGAGGGAGGAAGATTCCACCAGGATTACAGCCTCGGCAGCAGACACTGAGAGGGAGGTTGGTAAAAACATGGAGGCAGGGGAAGGCGCTGGGAGGAGTTCAAGGGCTACAAGCAACAAAGGCAAATCCTGTTAGAGTCCCCATCGTGCAACAGCAGTGAGCTGGGGCCGGACTATGGGACAGACTCACAGGTTGAATGGGTGTGGGGTTGGGATGACCAGGGCAGTTAGTCCATGATGATTTATCTTCACATATGTCCACGAACGAGGGGCACACAGGGGCAAGGCTATGAAAATTCCTGAGAAACAAGGCAACGAGGCTCTGGCCGTGAGTGCTCAGGCCATGAGTCCTAGGGGACAGCAAGGTCCACTGGCATACCATCCTTCACAAAGACAATGATCTACATCCTAATTTGGGGAGGAGGGGCCGGGGTTTAAAAATAGTGTGAGCCGTCATCTTGGCTGCTATGATTGGTCTCTCCCTGTGATGAGAATCAAAGACACATGGAAATAATTAGTCCAGGAGACCAACGGGCCATGAGAATACAGGTGTCCATGACCCTGAGACCAGAAGAATTACACGATGCAGAACAACCGTCACTAACTGCATGGAGAGGGATTATATTAGAAGGTGCTCAGTGGCGTGGGAGCCCAATGTGGGCTACATGCAAAATCATCAGAGACCAGGGTTCCTGGTCAGATAGGGACTGGGGGAAACCCTGCCACTATGGCCCTTAGTCTCCCTTCAGGGGCTGGCCCTGAACCCAACATTCAGCAATACAATAGACAGATGTATAAGGGAAACCATAACCCTTGTGCGGCATGTACTCCTTAGACTCATCAACCACTTGAGATCAAAAGGGCAGCATTTAACTGCAGGAAAAGGACAAAAAGGTTAGGAAAGAAGTAGGTACGGAGAAAGGAGACAGGGAAAAGTGGAAGAGGTGATGTTACATTGAGGGGGATTGTAAGAAGGGATTGAAACAAAACGTGCATGCATTGTTGGATGTAAAACTGATTAATTGCTCTGTAACATGTCACCCACCTCACATCACAAAGTTTGAAAATAGAAAGTGAACGAGCATAGGCTTGGGGAAGTTCTACTCTGTCCTACAAGGGAGCTAGGAGCTGGAGTCGACTGGATGGCAATGGGTTTGTTTTGGGGTTTGTTGTGGAGACTGTGAGAGCGACATGCTGCCGGGTTCTTTCCACGTAGTTTCCAATGTCCACAAAAGTCTCTAAGAGAGGCATTAGTATCTCATTTATGATGAGAAAACCAAGACTCAAAAACATTACAACACTTGCGCAAGGGCAGAGCTGATGTAAATGACTAAATTAGAGTTGGAATCCATATCTCAACTGAGTGATATAAACTCAGGACAGGTGTGCATCAAGACTGTATCCTTTCACCACACTAATTCCACCTGTAGGCTGAGCAAATCATCCAAGAAGCTGGATAACATGAAGTATTAGGACTGAAGGTGGTCTCATTAGCAAGCTGTGATATGCCGATGACATGACTTTGCTGAAAGCCAAGCAGACAGGAAGCACTGAATGACAAAGATCAAAGCCTCTGGTATGGATTTAAACTCAATACAAACCAGTAAGTAACACCATGATGAAAAGAGAAAGGTTGAAGTTATCCAGGACTTCATTTTGCTTGGATTCACAATCCATGCCTGTGGAAGCAGCTGTCAAGAAATCAAAGGACACGTTGCATTGGGCAAACCCGCTGCAAAAGACCTCTTTAAAGTATTAATAAGCAAAGATGTCGCTTTGAGGACT